TATATATATATATATATATATTACAAATACAGAAATACAAAATATAATATTATATATATATTTATATAACAAATAACATACATTGTTGATATTCTAAAACCGTTCTTATAAAAAATAAAAAAAATTCATAAATATTTGCAAATAAATGTACCATGCTTTTTTGATTAAAATTTGCAAGAAATAGTTAAGACAAAATACGATTATTTTTCTATACATAGTTTTAAGTATGTACGCGTGTATGCGTGAAATTTCTTTGATGACTAAAATTATTTGGTTGAATTAAATTCTTCAGAACTTACTTTTTAATTAGGATTAAGTTTATTTTTGCATTGTTTTGTGTCCCAACGTTAAAATTATGAAAAATACTATTATCGTGATGAAATTACCTTCAAGTATTTAGTCAAAAATCATCATTTTCTTGTAAAGTTCACTTCATGGTAATACTAATAATAGAGATAATAAAAAGATGAAATATTAATGTCCAGAAACCAAATAATTCTGATAAACACAAAGTTTACGTTAGTTCCATAAAACTTATTAATATAAGAGCGAACTATCAAAATGCAAAAAGCTACTCACTATTAAAATCATTTCTTCATGGACAGTATTTAATTTTACTCAAGAAATATTTTTCTGATTTTATAGGAATAGACTTGCTCATGAAATATCAAAAATAACTAAATAAATAATTCATCCATTAAGAATTGATTATTTAAATAATTAAAAGAATTCTTAAATAGTAATTAATTGAACGCAACATACATAATTACATTGTTCCCACTAAATCCGCTGTAGTGATTAGTTTGCTGATTGTAGTCAGTGTGTGATAACGTAGAAAGTTTTGCTTTTATACTCTTATCACAAAAGTTATTTTGTAAAAAAGATTATTGCATTGAAAGAGTGTTTGTTCAAAATCATTAATTTTCGTCATCAAAAAGCTTTTCAAAAGTTTGAGATTAGTATAAAATTAGGCTTCAAAAATATTTTTTTTCCATCCTTTTTTGCTTAAAAAAATTGCATATTAAAGGCATAAATCATTTTTGCAGCAATTTTGTACCAAAATCAAGTTATTAAAGACTAATTATCAGTATTTATCTAAATTTTTTAGTTCAAGTTTACAAAACTTATTACTTTGATGAAAAATATTGTGTGTAAAGAGTAATCCAACAAGCTAATTATTAGTCTGTTTATTCTTAATA